AAAAAAAAAAAAAAAAAAAAAACGTTATTTGGATCACACCGACAAACTGATGTTAATTTTGAAACAATAGTAGTGAATAAGATGTTGACTGAGTGAAAAAATAATTTGTGACCGTTTGTCTACATGCTGAGATCGATATTTCTTGGTATCCGAATGTTGTCAGAACGAAAAGTTTTTGCTAGAAGCTGATAAACGAACTTAAAAGTGTAGCTTTTAAAACTTTGACTTTCTGATAATTTCCTGGCTAAAATTTAAATTTACCGCTGTCGCAATGTACTTTTTCTGTTTACGTCCCCGGAACTCATGTACTTTTTTTTAGTAGTCAATTTTTAATTTTCTGCACAGATACAACGAAGAAATTAGTGGAACTGCAAAATTTTGATAGATCGCAAAGTGCTAATTTTTTTCCATTATTTTAAATCCGTTGCAATCACCAATTCGGTAAATTGTAGTATTCGGTATCTTGGGGAATAATTTTGAAGAAAGACTTCGTGTCTTTTTTCACTGGAGGGGTTATCGCTCAGAATACAGAAATTATTGACCGCTGATCTCCGTTCAGCGGCATCAGTTTCACTGCAGTGATTTCTGCCTTAAAAAGCACCGTTTCGATTACGAAAAATTGTTTCGGGTAATGTCTATTTTATCAATCAACTCAATTCTTGCTGTTAGTAATGATCAACAAGAAAGAGTAGGGAACGTTTTCATTTCACCGGAATCATTCATTGCAGATTCCTTGCGGAACTTGATACTTTACCAGTGGTAAGCAAAACAAAATTTTACATTGGATTGTCACAAAAAATTATCTTTTTGTGAAAAATTTTCTTTAATGACTACTTACTGCTAAATATTTTGGCAAAAAAAAAGAAAAATTTTAGAAGATGAATACAGCGGACAACTGTCGTTAGATGACTGTTTTGTAAAATGTGGAGGAGGCGAAAACAGTTTATTGTTGTCATCGTTATCTTCAGCTAAGCCGTCATCACCATCAATATCAAGAAAACTATTATTTTTTTTTTATTAAAAATCTTTCTCCAGTAACATTCATTGGTTATGTAAATTTCCCCCTCCAATATAAAGTCAAGTTTTTTTGAATAAAAAAAGGAGGACTGTTTTACCGTTGCAGAGTAACCGACTCACCCAAATACAGTACGCCTCTAAAACCTTGGGTGGTTAACTGCAAAAAATAAGAATATAAAATAAACCGTTTACCATGAAAATTTTTGCAGGAAGTTTAGTTTAAATTAATTTTTATCATAAGCAGCTTATTTCATTTAATTCATTGTTGTGATTATTTGTCAGCAGTCAATGTTTTTTAGTGCTTAATTTATGATCTCTTGAATTCAGACTATAAAACTTTTTCTGACTGAAATATTTCATCACTTCCATCACCTTTTCAGCTTCAAAATCCTTCGTCGTAGCCAACACACACGATAGTTTTCATTTTTTCCTCAGTATAAGCAATAAGCAAAATAGCAGCAAAAAAAATATCACCATCACCATCCTTATCAAAGCTTAGAGTAATACATCACTTCACTGTTACCATGGCAAAACTTAAGTTGCCGATGTTTCGGTAAGAATGAAAAACAGCCTATTCTTTAGTAGAGTGATTGATGTACTTAAGGTACCGCAGAAATGTCGTTTGTTTCATAATTTGCTCCTAAAATGCCCAGCAGAAAAAAAGGTTAAGAAAAAAATAAAGTATAACAGCAACAATTTATATTACTGATTCTATAACGATCACAGTATCAAACAAAGCCAAAAAAAATATGAAGAAAAAGAAAATAAATAAAACAAATGACAAGGAAGAGAAAGGAATGTAAATAAAATAATACTATGTTTGGTGACGTCATAGATACCTGCCATCTTTTCGCCCTTTCAAAGCATAATAACAGTGCTGTTGTTACTGATTTTTAACATCACCTATTCGCCATAACAACAACAGTTACCAATATGAACCCACTCAATTGTTCGCTTTTCGTTTGCTTACCTTTCCTTTGTCCGAGTTTTTTTTAAATTATCAACTATGGTTTCTTTTGGTTTTCATTTTTATTCATTCCACCTCTTACTGCGCTTTTCAAATAGTTCTGCTTTATAAAATTACCAAAAAATAAGTAAAAAAAGGAAAATTTTGCAATTTCAAAATGTTTTTAGAAAAATTGGTGCGAGAAAAAATTATTCTTGAATAACTGTTCATGAAAATGTTGTTGTCGTTGTTCGTTTCCTGAACATTCATTTGAAAAAATTGTATAATTTAAAAAAATATGAAGAAGACATTTATTTCAAAACGAACAAAAAACTGCTTTTTTTCAAGGAGAGCGAGAAAGGATGTGGTATCAAAACGATGTTAAAGAGTTCATTGTCAAGCTAAAAAATTTCATCAAAACCGTTGTGAAAAAGTATTAGATGTTTTTTTAAAGCATATTTGACTTCAAGTTTTTTCATACTGATGAAGGCGAGAAATGAAACAGCGAAAAGACGGGCAGAGATGAAGGAGAAATTGAAGAATCTGATTGAGGTAATGAGAGAAATAAAGATTAAAGTGAAGCTGAAAGCAGGGATTGAGATGGAGATAAAGCTGAAAGCAGAAGTTCAAGTGAAGGAGAAAGTAGAATTGGAAGTGACAATAAAGGTAGAAGTGGAAGTGAAGTTACATGCTAAAGTAAAGATTCAGATAGACGTGAAGGTAAAAATAAAGTTAAGACTGGAGACGGTGGTGGAGACGAAGAGAGCGGTAGGTTAAAAAAAGATAAGAAGCTTTGAAAAACCATAAGCAGACGAGGACCACTGCCAAAAGCCG